AAAAAAACCATGTTAATGAAGGAAACTAATGTTTTCTTTAGGTATGAACTTTAGGGAAATAGTTTCTAATTGTAACAGTTTTTGGCACAAAGCAAAATTTTAACAGAAAAGTCTGAAAATGATTTTTAAAAATCTCACAGCATGTGACCATTTCCTTGATAGGGTTCCCTGAGGTATTTCAAAGTAAAGAACATTTCTGAGCACTTTTTACATTCCCAGCTGTGACTCAGTAGATCCAGGTTCAAATGCCTACTGAGCCATGAAACTCACTGAGTAACCTTGGTTCAACCAGGGACCTACCTCACAGGGTTATCTGAGGATAAACTGTGGAGTGAGAAAGCCATGTCGGCTTCATTGAACTCAATGAAGGAAGGAAAATCAGGATATATATGTAGGTAATCAATAGTCTGGTTTCAAGATAAAGAACCAAAAAGAAAGGGAGAGAGGAGGCTACCATTTAGTACACCTGTCCAGTTAGTACCTGCACTGCAGCCTTGGCAAGCACTCTGGTCAGTTGGTCACAGTGCAGAAATCATCCAGTTTGAGGCTGCTTTAACTGGCCTAGCTCAATGCTAGGGAGTTCTGGGAATTGTAGTTTGTTGTGGTACCAGAGCTGTCTGACAGAGAAGGCTAAATGTCTCACAAAACTACAGTTTCCAGACTTGCCTAGCATCGAGCCAGGGTAGTTAAAGTGCTCTCAAACTGGATTATTTCTGCAGTGTGTTTTGGACCAGACTTCCCCACACTGTGGTGAACAGGATTGCATTTCTGATTAAATTGTAGAAATTAATATTTGCAAATTTCACATTGATAAGATTAAATTAGCATTTGCATAGCTTATGCAAATGCCCATGGTCTTTCCCTCTCTTCTGGAAATGCACAAGTGGCAAGCCCCACTATATAATGCCTGTGGTGCTGATGGTGGTGGCAAGCGGGCCACAGGGCACAGAGACTCTGCTGGCTCATGTGCCATGACAGAGTGGTCATTAATTCCAACTCCAGCATGACAACTTAATTATTCAGGGCAGGTTTTGTAGTATAAAAAGTCTCAAGGTTGCTCTTGAAAGGATTAATGAGGTAATGGAACATTCATAAGGCTCTCTTTGCACTAAATGTTATTTACTGTTAAGATCTGCTGAACTAAGGAGGACCTCTTTTCTAACAGGTCTGACACTACTGTTCTGCATCCTTGGCTCAAGAATGGGATGATACATTCCTGGGCAACTGGGCAGGGATCTTTTCTAGGTCCCTCGTAATAATCCTCCCCCATATAGTACCACATTTTTCATTTTCCACAGTGCAGAAAATGCTGCATGAGTGGCACTGTGGGGACATTAAACCTCAAATTTGGGAAGGCTAACTTCTTTGGTGCTATAACTCCCAGAATCTCCTGCAGGGGCTAGGGGATTCTAGGAGTTGTAGTCTCAAAAATAACATTTCCAAGCTCGGATTGAAGAGGCTGCTGTCTGAAGTTAACCGAAGGATGCTGCTGTCACCAGGTAAACCCACCTGAGAAGGTGAGATGGAGAATCAAGAAGAAGGCTTCCAGGGAGGGAGGAGAAGAAGAAGTCCTTTTGTGGTAGGTCTTGTCATGCAGGGAGAAGGGAAAAGGCTCCCATAAGCTTTGAGCATACTCTGCTTGCAAGCATTTGTGCTAAGAACTGTTGCCAAGAGTGACAAAGGAGTGAAATGAGAGACTCACCAGAGGTGGGCCGGTCCAGGAGGCTTTTTTTGCATGTGGCATCATGTGGGGGGCCAGTCCTGTTGCCAGAGTCTCTCTGTAGAAAAAGAAAAACAGGGAAGGGAAAAAAGTGATCAGCCCCCTCTGTTACATTGCTGTTTGCTTCAGTGGTTAACACACAACCTCAATGAAAGGAATTAGGGAGGTGGGCATGCCTTGATTTCAGCTCACCGGGGGGGGGGGGGGAATACAGTGGGGCCAAGGGCGATCGGTGTGTTCCTGAATCATTTGAAAGCAGCCCTAAAAATAGAGCATTCAAAAGCACCAAGATTATGTGGCAGCTCCGGAAACGCACTTCCCAGCTGGGTGGGGCCCACAGGGTTCAGCGCATTTACCAGTTCCCTCCAGGCTTGCTGCTGCTGATTCTTCTCCTGCTGCTGCTAATGATTCAATTCTGTACAAATTGTTCCACCGTAGCCTCCGGCCCCAAGCCTGGCACACCTGGGGTAGCAGCAGTCTGCATTCAGGCTACGCCACAAACAGCTTTGGTAATATAGTTTCTTGTGGGTTTTTCGGGCTGTGTGGCCATGTTCTAGAAGAGTTCCTTTCTGACGTTTCACCAGCCACAGATGCTGGCGAAACGTCAGAAAGAAACTCATCTAGAACATGGACACACAGCCTGAAAAACCCACAAAAAACTATGGATGCTGGCCATGAAAGCCTACGACTAGCTTTGGTAATGGCACCACAAGTGAGCCAGACATGGGGCATAGGACTGAGGAGTCTTGGCAGAATTATGGGAGGAGAGGCAAGAAGGGAGCCCAAGTATAATGCTCAAAGCCCGTGGGTTGATACGGCAAATTTTCAGAAATGTGGGAGGGGGATTGGAACCAAGTCACAGTGTGAAGGGATGGAGTTAGGGTTGCCATCATTCTCCTCCACAAAACCAGGACAAAAGTATGCAAGACAGGATTGGGCAGTTTATAAGAACAAAACAAAACAAAAATCCACCTATAAAAACAAAATAAAATAAAATAAAAACCCCACCCCACATTTTGATATTTAACATTGCATACAGTCAGTGCTCCCATATCCATGGATTCAACCAGGCATGGCTTCAAAATATTCAAAAAATATACAAATTCCAAAAAGCAAACCTTGATTTTACTGTTTGATATAAGGGACACCATTTTACTATGCAAGTCTGTATAATGGGATCTAAGCATCCACAAATTTTGGTATCCAAGGGGGGTCCTGGTACCAAACCCCAGTGGATACACCAAGGTCCCACGGTATTTCAAGTTGTTATTTATTTATATATTGCCATCAATTTACATTCTGGGATTTGTAGTTTGCTGCTTCAACTGGCCCAGCTGCCGGGACATTTTTCAAACTCTTTAATCTGGGATTTTCCTGGTTTCCTGGGACAAATGGTAAATGGAGCTCTTATGCTTGCTTCCATGGAGCCAGAGTAAGCCAGCAACTTTCTGAGCTAGAAACCCTGTGGTATTTGAGCTGAAGAGATGAGGCCAGAAAAACTTGCAAAACCCCTGCCTTAGAGAAGTTACCAAATATTCTCGCTCTACCTTTATTTCCCATCATGTCCCTGCCCATATCCTTCACTCTGCAAGTGCCGCTCCCCATCTATATGTACTGATTAATACAGGATGCAATGCACAGGGAAGGTAACATGATATGCTTTTGACTGAAAGAAGCAGGACTTATGCAAGACATTTTGCTGTCTGAAGCAGAGCAACAAATGGTGCTTTCCCCCATTCTGGCTCAAAAAGGTCAAGTACCCAAGATCAAGTCAAATTATATGAAGCTAGGCAAGTTATTTGGACATCTGAGGCAGAAAATCCCACAACCAATTCTCCCCTTCCCTCACAGTAAGAACACAATACAAACAAATTAAATAGCTAACTATTTGCTATCCTCCCCTAACACCAGAAATCTGATGCCTGAGAAGGCCACCTCATTTTGTGGAGTTGTGCTAGACAACTTTTTGCTGGATTCTGTCCCCCTACATTCTTATTGGAGAGGTTGGTCCATGTCAGATGCTACAGTTATACAAGAACTAATCTGACCCAAAGAGACAAACTCATGGTTATTTTTGGTTCAGGGCAGTATTCAATCTCTCTATATTATTAAGGCTCCATGATTATTTCAACACACCTAGAAAACATGATGCTGGCTTTTGCCCTGAAGTACCATATTTTGTACAAAAATACAACAACAAAAAATGTTTTCTCTCACTCTCCCATCATATAAACCTGCTTATACTAATAAACCATCCTATTGATTTAACTTATGTAATGAACCTTTTGGGGGGGCTGTCCCTAGGGCCTCTCACTATTGAAAAC